AAGCAACGAGTATAAAGAGACAAAGTCTGTCAAAGTTGCATCTATTTTTCCCCAGTGAGCAAATCACTCAGTTTGCCCTTTAATCTGCTCGTTACCAAATGGCCATAAACATAACGCCCTATGTCCTACTAAACACATGTTCCTGTTCTCATATTAAGATTTTATAAAATTAAGTTTCCATTCTGCCTAAGCAAGAAACAACAAATAAAAGAGCTGCATTTGGAAATAGATGAAAAAATAAATCAGACCTCTTATGCAACCCTTTGCTCCCTGCGGCCCTGCTTACTAGTGCTTTCCCCAACCCCAAAAAATGATGAGGTTTTTGAAGACCGTCAGCTGGTTTCAAAGTGATAAATTTAATCTCAGTCTTTCATACTGTCAGCCCTCCTAGGTACCTTTTCTTGTTGCTTCGTGTTTACTGCGTTGGCACTCCGGTGGACAGCTTGCTCAGCGTCATCTTTGTCCCGACATTTCTGCTCGTAGGTCTTCTTTGCCTTCGTTGTTACAAAGAGGCAAGTGAAAAAATAAAAAAACCCAAAGAGACAAGTGAGCAGGTCACAACGCTGGGAAGCAGCGCCTCAGCCCTCTGAGCCCAGAAGGAGTAGGCCACTGCTCGGGAGACCATGGACCCTCACGAAATAGATGCTCCATCTTGTCAGCCTCTGAAATGTCCTCTGGCTCTAGCCTTCTTCCAAATTCTGGACAGAGTGCCACCTCATCACAGAAGTAGTAACTCCAATTTATGGTTTTATTTATAACTGGGAATTGAACTCAGGACCGCACACTTGCCAGGCGAGCCTGAGCTACAAGACCCTGTCTCAGACGACAAAAAGAAAAAGAAAAGAAAAAGAAAAAAAAAAGAAACTTTGGAATAGTAAAAGAAAAATAAAAGACTATGATAAGAAAAAAAAAGAGTTAATATAATAGTTTTCCTCTCTCCTATAATTTTTCTAAATTATTTTTCACAAGGGAAGGAAAATATACTAATTTTAGCTAAATTCAGCTCTAAATGTAAGTAGAAT